CTTGCTTATTTTACTACAGTAAAGTACACGATAGTTTCATACGGAAAGGGGTTTTACTGTAGTTTTGAAAATATATTTTTCTTTTTTGTGTCCAGCTAGATGACACAAGAACAGAGCAAACATGACATGTAAAACACTACAAAAGCTATTCTCAAGCAACTACCCAAAAAGTTAATTAAAAAAGATTGTTTTCATTGCCAGTGAAGTTATTTTCTTCAGGTGAACTGATCTGCTTCACCTCAACAATCTTCTGCTACAAACTGAGAAATGTTTTTCAGGCAACTCTGCAAGCCACTTCCTAGTAGAAAGAAAAACAGATTGGTCCACTCTCATCACATTTACACTTAGATAGAAATAGAAGCCATATATGGACTCCTGTGCCTATGGAAGGACCTGTCTACTTATGGAAAGTAAAATTAAGAATAGATCTCCAGCGGTAGGTCTGGTGAATTTAATGTGATTCTAAACTACTGAGGACAGACTGTGAATTGATGTGCCCTTAACAACCTCCAGTGATGGAGATTCTGTAAATGTATTTGGCAGTTTATGTCAGTACTATATTACATCTGTATATGAAACTTAATTTCTCTCTTATCTAAACTAAACTCTAGTTTCTGTCCTTTAAACTCATCTAATTATATTGATTGGAGAAAAGTAAGAGGCAAAGATGTTCAGAGAAAAGTAGAAATAAGGTATTTTGCAGACCAGGAAAAGAATGGGAGAAGTAAGGAAAGTGGGAGACATAATGATACATTTTAAAAATAGAAGTTATTGTTAATATTTTAAATATAGCATTTTGCAAATCAACTGTTAATGCATCTTTTGGACACCTCTATGTCTGCATTTTTAAGTTCTATGTTACTGTAAAGAAGTTATTGTCTCAAAAAGAAAAAAAAATCAGAAAAAAGTGGCTTTTTTTAGTTTAGTAAAATTCTGATGACTGAAGTAGAAATATAATTTGTAACTGGTCTTCTTTCAGTCACAGAATAAAACATCAGTTGTATGCTGATGTAATGGAAAAATCTGCTGGTAAAGAGAACATATTAATACATTCCTACTTACACCTAGAGAGACACATTGCAGCCAGGCAAGAAATCTTCACTTCTGAAATGGAATGCTTTTCCCTTAGGTTTTTTATTCCAGTTCTTTCTACTCCAAATTTGTTTCCTTAATGGTGTTAAATACCTCTCTTATGAACACAAGTAAGTGGTCCTCAATTCAGTGGGAAAAAAGACTCAAGTGATGAAAAATGAATACTTTAGATGAAGATCTGTTATGCAATGTGATTACACTGGTCTGAATAAATATTTACACTTGTATCTGCTTTTTGCATTGAGCATGTTAGAAAGAAGTATTTTTCCTATTTCCTTGATTCTGTATTATTAAATTTGCAGTCTTTTAGGGAATAATCCAGCCTAATTTAATTGGAATTCGGTGCATATATATGGAATTAATGTCTCTGTTTCTGATCCTACTTTGGAGACTCATTCAGTAGAGTAATTTGACATGGCTATCTCCTCTCTCCTCTGGTACATACCAGAAATGGCGTGTTAGAGTGTGAGAAAAGCTTCAGAACTCACATGCAGCTTGCACTGTAGCAGCCTGGGCACCTGCACCATTCTGTTCTCTGCCTTGTAATTTAATTTCTTTTTGGACAAGTACTCCCCTTCTTGTTGAGGAATAAGATTTAAGAGTAAAAGAAGTTAATAAAAGAAATCCTTATCCAGCTTCCTATTATTAGTTTGGAGATATGTTACAATAAAAATTGAGACCGATTTTTACAAAAATTCATGGGTATGGCACACAACTTTTGTTTGTTTGTTTATTTTTAACTGATAAAACAACTTTCATAGTTCTTTTTTATTTCTATTCTCAAACTAACACATAAATCTGGTATAAAAAAATTAAGATATCACTGTCTAGATTTTCAACGGAAATTTCTGAGTCTTAGGATTCTTCATTATTTGGAAAATAAACATTTTAAAGACTATTGTAAGACCAAGTAGATCTTTGAACTAATGTACCTTGAAACATAATGGTAAATTTAAAGTTGCATTTGTAAAAGTATTTATAAAATTATTATTATTCTTCCTATCCAGCCTGATATAAGTATGCATAAAACAATTTCTTTGTAGCAGCCTAACCTGGGCTTTGTTAATTAGCTGCAATTAGAAGCATTTCTCTGCAGATGTTTCTTCTCATATCTTCTCTGTGGCCTGAGCTCTGGTTTAGGAGACCCTGAACAAGTCTATATCCATTTTCAATTTTTAAACAACACCCAACAGATACAGAAATCAAAAGTCCTACTACAGTGATGCTTGTCCTCCAGATAATATTAGCCTTTCAATATGTGGTCACTGCAGCAGTATATCATGCTAATTCCTCAGTTAATGACATGCTGATGCCAAGACAACTGTTAGCTACACTTTATTTTGTGTTTCAGAGTCTCTTCTCTCCCCATATTTCACACACTCCTGCTCTGCTTTAACAACAGAGGTAAACTATTACATACAGAGAACCTAATATTTGTTTTCTCACTGAAACATACAGCTGAATGTTCAACTGGTAAACTTGTATGCATAGCTTCCATGACTGCCTTGGCTACACAATGTATATTTCTGAATCTAGGACTTTTTGAAGTGGTTTATATAAAAAGTAGTAAAAATGAAAGGTGTACATTTGTAAAAGAGGGAAGAAAAGAATATTTGAAATTATTCTACTGTGTTGACCTGATGTCTTTCTATTAATTTAAGAATAATTCCACTATGCTCAATGTTTAGTTTACCTCTTTTCAACAGATGCAACTTCATTCACTGTTGTTGAGTAACTTCTGAGTCCATCTGAGAAAAATCAACATGGTTTACTCCTCAAATGAGAAGAAGAGAGCTCAGAAATCCCTACGCACTATATAAAAGAGTTTTAGAAGCAGGTGTTTTGTTTATAATTATGTTTTGCTTCCTGGTCAGTGAAAATGTAAATGATGGACTGGAAGTGATTTGGAGAAAAATCTTTATCTTTGATTAATTCTGGTAAAATAAATCCATAGGAACAACAAAGAAGTTGTAAAAGACAAAATACCATAAGAGCCTCCTAAATGCATGTTGTACAAAGGGTGCAGAGATCTGCATGGGTATTCCTCTGTCGTGGAGTGTTTCCAGGAGGATATAGGAATGTGTGACCACACTCTCCAAATGCTGGAGCAGGGTTTGCTCTGGGAGCACTTGGAAATGGCCGAGCTCAGCACAGTAGCATGACAACAACGCATTTTGCATGAACTGGAATGGTTTCGCATTTACACTAGGAATTAAGACACTAGTCTTAAACTTTACAACATAAAAAAAAATAAATCTGGTTTATAAGTAAAGACAATTTTAAGACTTCATCAGAACCCATAAACAATTTTGCCATCAAAATGATGTATGAACTTCTTTTACTGTGAGAAAGGATTGTTTCTGTTGTCTATAGCTTGTTTTTTTTGCCCTCCTCTTGACTATTACAACTTTCCTTAATAAACTGCAAAAGTGACTTATATGGCTAGCTTTTCTCTTATGTTATTTAACAAATATTTTCACATGAGGAAAAAACAACACCACCAAGAAAAATCTGTGCAGCATTGTTTTTTGTTGTTGATATTCTTCCACTGCTAAAGAAAAAAGAAAATTTTTCTCTCTAGTACCACTGCTTTGGTAGAAGGAATTGTATTATTCATTGAGATATACTGCCATGTGATGTTTTAAAAGTAGTACCTCAGTAAAAGATATTGAGTTATTTATAAAATCTACAATTTTATATTTAAACAACCTCTGTAAATCAGTCTGTCATAATGTTTGCATTTTCAACTGAAAGATAAAGAAAATAAAAATCCACAGGAAAGCGAAACCATACTTGGCAACCAAAGCAATTTACTAATTGGAAAAAAAGAATCCGCATGGTGCCTTATCAGCAAAAATTCCTCTCTTTGATTCCAACAATTCAAAGTCAAAGGCAAGGTTGAAGATATAGATTCAGGTTGAGTGTACTGGACTCTAAAATTCCTTTTAATGCAACAGTCTAAGTATTTGATTAGTCCGCATTATTGTAATTTATTTCTGGACATTACCACTTGCTAAATGTTTAAATCACTTTGGGCAAACCTTATGAAGTTGTCCTCTGTTTCACAATCTAACTGTGATAAACTGCACTGCTTGGCTAAAGAAAGTTGCTTTGGATGCCAGCTAACTCAGTGTGCTGCTTTACTTCACTTCAGGACTGCCAGGGAGAAGTGCTTGAGAAGCTGATTTTTAAGAACCCCTGAGTAGTCTCAGCAACACTGGAGACCTCTGAGCACTTAACTCTTATGAAAGGCAAGCCCGAGAGACTCAGAATTGAATCTGTACCTCCATATTATGATTAACCATGTCAGGGCAGTTAAAGAGCTCTTTCACAATGTAGCTTATACTGTGTGTGTGTATAACTTCAGCCACTGCCCTTATGCATCCTTACCGCATTTAAGTGCACTCTGTTCCATATATCTTTTTTTACACCACTAAAAAGATCTACTAAGAAACATTCTGCACAGTTTTCTTTTCAGACTAATTTCAGATTTCAGCACTGTAAACATTAAGAAATTTCTCACTCTTCTTCTCAATAATGTATAATTGACAATTTATCTCTGTATCAAAATAAGCACCAATTTGACATCCAGCAATTTAAAATTTATTTTCTCTGATGCAAGTCTCCACATGATCTATTTTCCCCAGATTCAGCAGTAAAACCAATTATATTTTCATGTGTTCAGGTTTTCAGTAATTTAAAGAATCTGACTAAACATGGATATTGGCTAATTTTTGGCTCTTTTAATAAATTACTTCTTATTCAGGGTACAACCTATTCTCACTATATTCACCAAAAGTGGGGTCAGTATTTTGAGAACAGACATGAATACCCCTTTTTAAGACATACTTCAAGAGCTTTACTTTCACACTAGAAGAGCTACAAATCACAAGGTGCTGTTTTCTTACCATAATGAGGAATTATCGCCCAAGCCATTGCAGAAGCGTAAATACCACCAATCATCCAAAACATACAGAGCCAGCTCAGGTGTTCACCTCGTTTCTCCCGAGCAAGCACTTCCGAAAAATAGGAGAAGACTGTCGGCAGTGCTCCACCAATCCTAAAAGTAGATACAGATCATGGATTAAGCAAGAGAGTAACAGCTAGATGAAGTTTGAACAAGCTGCAGTCCTCTAAAAGTCAGATAAAAACAGCTTCTCTGACACAAGTGTTTTTTCTAAAATTGCACCACGTGTTGGAGAACATTAGAGGAAACTTTCATCAGTTTGGACACAAATTTTGTCAAGTATTTCCTTGAAAATTCTACGTACTATTTGTTGCATTCAGTGTTTCAAGGAAATTGTCAGTGTGTCAGTCACTGGAACAGAAACCATCACAAAGTCCTGAATTTCACCATTACAAAATCACGGCAGCCTACTGACAGGTGCCAAAATACATTGCTATTAATGGTAAAATAATAATAATTTTCCCAAAGAGTAATTGGTATTTCTCTAAGTCTTGCCTCCCATTATTTAGGTAATCAGGAAGTAACTAAATGTCAATGGTTTTTTCATACATATTTAAAAGCATTTTCTATTCAGTTGCACTTCATGTCTGGCTAAGCTCATGCTGGCTTTTTACTCAACTTTTTACAAAAAGCCTATGCATTCATATAATATTCATTTTTTCACATGGTAAAATAAGCACTCTCTGAAGGTCAGGCGGACAAAAAAAAAGACACCTTTAACTAGGCCAGGTTGCTCAGAGCCCCATTCAACCTTATCTTCAACACTTCAAGGAATGGGGCATCAACAACTTCTCTGGGAAATCTGTCCCAGCCCCTCACCACCCTCACAGAAAAGAACTTCTTCCTAGTATCCAACCTAAACCTACTCTCTGTTCATTTAAAAACATGCCCTTGTAAAAAGTCTCTCTCCATTTTTCTTGTAGTCTCCCTTCAGGTAGTGAAAGTCCAACTAGGTCATCCTGAAGCCTTATCATCTTATCATATACTGCTGGTATTTAGTCTATTTATTTAGTCTTTCAATGAATGTTTCTCATAGTTGAGCCTGCTAGCTCTTACAGGCTCTGCCAATAATGCAGGTTTACACTTCCAGGAATTCTTGCTACATATGCAGCTAACAAGGGCTGTATCCTGTTTCTTATCATGGCTGAAAATACTGAAAGCCTTCCCTTGCAAACTGCCCTGTCACAGGCAACAAGAGACATTGTTCTCAGAGCTTCTCCTGGATATTCTGAGTGAGGAATGGTGGAAGGGACATAGCCAAGGGTGAAATCACAGGTCATTTTTCTGTGAGGGGGAAGACCTGCTGTCTCAGTGCTACTATGGATTCAGGGCTCTTCAGTTCCTAAAATATAAATGGATTACAGCTATGATGTCTTACTCTCCAGGCCTCAGACACAGTTTTGATTTGCACTCTCACAATAATGCCCAAATAGACTATTTGTGCACTTAATTAGAGTTCCTTCTCTAATGTTGAAAATTCACTAGCAGAACAAGAAGCAATCTTCCTCTTTCCTGCCAAAGCTGGAAAGTGCTAAAGAGTAGTTACAGGTGCTCTATTTCAAGAAGATCTAATTTAATAGGTTACGTATGGAATCCATTGGGTGGATGCTTCAAGTAGAAAGAACCTACCCTGTCTCAATGACATAAAATGTACAGAGAACCTGACCAAAAGCAGCAAAAAAGGCATCTCTTACCTTTCAGCATGAACCAATGGTACCATGAAGGATGGGAGGTTGATGCTGCTTTAGCAGTTAAGACTGTTCCAGGGGGGTTGACATATATGCTACATCCTAGATGTAGCATAAATCTCCAAGATTTCAGAAGCATTGTCTGGACTGACCAAATTAATGGAATGACATTTCTACCAAGTAGACCTTTTGGACATGTAAGAGAAATTTTGGAGCCAACAAACTAAAATGTTATTTTGGATATGCAAATAACCAAGAAAAAAAATCAGCTTTGAAAACTCACAATTTTTCTGTTTTAACTGATGTGATTTAAGTTGGTATTTCCAGTGAGCACATCAAGAGGCTAAGAAAAGCTTAAGTTCAGATACTACATTCATATTGACTGAACAGTGAAAACAATCTGTCTACTGTTTAAACAAGAAATAAAGATGTACTTCCATCACATAGGCAAGTGCTGCTATTTAGAGTTGAAGGTCTTTGTTTCATAGCAATAGTGTAGTAAAGCATGTTGTTTCCTTCTTTGCACCTTAAACCCTGAGATTAGCTCAGTTGTTTAGAGCATGGTGCTAATAATACCAAGGTTGTATGTTCAGTCCCTGTATGGGCCATTCATTTAACAGTTGGACTCAATAATCCTTATGGGTCCCTTCCAACTCAGAATATTCTGTGATTCTTTGAGCCTGTGAACAGAAAATTTGCTTCTCAGCTTGTTAAGCTCTTCTTCATGTAAATGCAGAATGATACTGCTACAAGTTTTTAGGATACCAGCACCAAGGAAGCTCTTCCTATGTCACAAATCTACTACAAGGACTAAAAAACTGCTATGAAAATCTTAGGGAGGTTAATCAACAGTGAAATGGGAGGAGTGAGGAGGGAGATGGAGAGGAGGCATCCAAATGCAGAAGCCGGTTCTTTTGCTCTTATGCTGGACGATCTCAAGGTTGCAGTTGCCATGTCTCCATTCCCTAAAACTTGCTCCTAAATTCAGAGCAAGTGACAGCAGAAAGGTAGTGCAGGAACAGCTACAACTGTAATCACACCAAACAACAATGAGAAAACTCCTTAAAAACTGAATGGACCTAGAGAACTTTCATTTAGGGAGCAAAGAAATTTCTGCCTTTCTCTTACAGAAATTTTAATATGTGCTGAGTACTACATTCATTTTACATTATAGAACTAATATGGTATCTGGTATACTAAACATTGCTAGCAGAAGCATAAATTACCTCTCAAAGACTTGGGCAAGGGAGGATAGCAGCATCTCTGACTTCTTCCATCACTCTCTTGTGAGGATCTTTCAGATACTTCACCAGCTATTGCACAATATGAATTAATTTATCAAATGTTTATATTAAAAAAACAACCTCCATATCACCCAATAGCTGCAAGGAAGAATGCACTTTTAATTATAAAAAAAGAAAAAAAAAATCCATGGAAGGAACAGAATCCGATTCTCAACATTTTTGTATTGTAAGTTTGAAAGCAGACTGCTTCTTTGTTGCCCACCAACATTGTGTGGAATGGATGGTGGCATGCACAGAGGGAATTCTGAATAAAACTGAAAGCAGAATTACTACTAATTTTTTATGTAGGAAGACTTCGTCTTCTGTTTTAAGGGAAATGAAAATGCTATTTTCCTACATGACACAGTATCAAGTCTGCTGCTGGCAATGAATTGGTTTGATACAGTGGGCTGTCTGCTGTTAGTGTGTTTATAAATTATATGGCTCATCCTCATTTGTAGAAAATAATTTGATACATCAAACTATACTCCTCTCTTGATATGTCTGCATGTGCAGATGAAAAGCCTGTGAGAACTGTGTTGACTTGAGAAGAATGTTCATTCTAAAAATAGGAAGAAATTTAACTTTCCTAAATATAAATTTTTCAAGCAAGCTGAAATATTTACATCTCATCTGCTATTCATGTATGTTATTTCTTCAGTCATCATAGCCAAAGCAGGGGACATAAACTTGTTATCCATAGATCACAGTGGGAGTCCATGTATTACTTCCTAAAGGGTCACAAAAAGTGTCTACAAGGTGCAAACATATTATGAATATGTGCATTTTTTACACCTCTACAGATAAATTGTGTGGTATCTGAACATTTTTTAAAAAGATTAAAAAACCCCACTAATGTAAACCTCAGGGTTGATGATCATGAGTGATAAGTGTCTCCAGAATAACAGATTCTGTAGCCCAATAGCAGCAAGAGGCAAAACTTTGTTGAGGTTGGCTCAAGATCATAAAATAAACTCTTTCACTACAAGGGTCAGTCTCTGCACCTAGAACATCAGGATGCATGCCTTCAGCCTTGCTTTTTCTGTAACTGTGTAAGAATATACAGAAGAACAACACCTAATAAAGAGCAAGAACCTTTTGCTCCTGCATATATTGCTCCATATGTGAGAGAATAGGATAAATGTCAGTCAAAAAAATTACAAATGTCAGCTACAACATTTTCCATTTATTTTTCATCTTACATGATAAACCCCATCAAAAGTAGGCAGGGCAAGAGAGAACGCATAATTATATATTTATGTACACTCTCAGTTCACGCTTGTTCTGGAAAATTATGGGGAAGGAGAAACCAAAAGGAGATTTAAGTGATGCAACTTAAGATGGTAGGATTCAGTGAAACAAACAATCAGCTAAGATACATTTGCATTTTCTTTGTCACAAATAAAGATGATAAATGTCTGCTAATCTACCTTCAGAGCTATGATTTGTCACAACAGACTTTGGCAACTGCACAGTGTGACAGCTGTAATGAAAACATTTCTGTGAGGCATTCAGGAACCTCTGGCTTCAGATAGAAGCTTTTTTTTATTTGCAGATTCACTAGCCAAAGGGGCTTGACATGCAAAAGCATACAAGGTCTAGAGATAATTAGAAAAAAAAAACCTGTACAGAATGCTAAGTGCACAAGGTAGGATGGTGCTTTTCTGAAATACCTTGTGTTCCCTTTCAAAGCTGGACAATTTCCAGACTAAAAATAAAGACTGTGTCTGCGTGAGATTGCATTTGCAACTTGTCACCTTGTTATTTGCAATTTGTTAAAAAGTGATAGACCTCAAGACACAGACTCAGAGATTTGGAAGCAACCTATCACCCCTTGACCTTCCATTCAATTGCATCTACTCTTCTCTCTTCCTATTAACAGTTCAATACTCCCCTACCACAAGTCTCACTGAAAGACATCTCTGTTGTTTTCCTTTCAGAAATGCCATTAGACTGGCAAAGTATCTAAGGGTGAGCAACCAGACTGACAAGTTCTCCTGGAGAACCGCTGGATAAAACCCAAGAAAACTGCAGCACACTGTAGACTAAGCTTTGCTGATCATTCTATCCATGTTTAAATACAAGTGTTTCCTTGGACTATGCATACTAAAGAAGTTGCCTT